AGTTCATAATTTAATAATAAGATTCAGGACTTATCGAGTATTCATTTAAATTTTAAATGAAACTAATATTTTTCTATTTTTTAAACTACATACTCCCGACGTTTCGGTTACTTTTCAGCAATCGTGATCATTACTAGTTAATAATTAATTAATAAGTTTTCTACTTATTAATTCAAATAATATTAGTTTCATTTAAATATATTTAAATCTTTTATTTTCCACTCGGTTCAACCGAACGTAATTTGACGCGTGATCTTATGTTACTATTGTAGACCCAGTCTCAGACTGGTGATAGACTCAGTCTGGAGACTGCAATATAACCATAGTCTAGACTCTAATAAAACTTCAATATATGTAAGCCCTTAAAACTTAATGATGGACATTTTATATATAAATAATTTATTATATTTAAATATTGCTAATAAAATTGAGTTATGGACTTATAAAATATGACAAGATGTTTTTACGACAGCCCAAAGGTTTGAGAAAATATGTCCTGGGATCTTGTGACTTGGAATTTTGAGTAAAAATAATTTGGAACTGAAATAATAGTTTATTTTACAAGAATAAGAGAATTTTGAGCTGATGATGAAGAACATCTGAATGAAACTAATATAAGACCACGTCTGTAAAGTAACAGAAACGTCGGGAGTATGTAGTTTAAAAAATCACGTAGTAATACGAAAATATTACATTTAAATGAATACTAGCGAAAGTCATAGATCTTAGTATGGCATCTGTAGTTCGGATTTTGTCACAAAATTTGCTCTCTGTCTCTCTCTTTCTTGCTATTTCTCTCTCTCTCTTTATATACAGGGTGACTGGTGAATTACTATCGATATTTGAGGACGTGATATTTGACGATCATATATGACAAAATAAAAATTAATATAACATAAATATTAATAAACTTCTAAGTAAAGTTAACCAAAAGTTATGTAATTAATTACGCATCGTATGAACACCCTACAGATTAGGTATACATACACATACACACACACACGCGCGTTTGGCGGCGTGGTATTGTATCAGCACGCCGCCGCACGCGTCCACACTTGGAACACTTGGAACGTTGGACACGTATTTATTTATACGGAAATTTGGTCAAAAATTAAGTACCTATTTTTTTTACATAACTCGAATGAGAATCATGTACCGAGTATTCTCCTTAAATATTGATAGTAATTCACCAGTCACCCTGTATATGTGTGTATGTGTGTGTGTCTAAACTAGTGTCAAATACTTCACAAACCAACTATTCTCATGAAGATTTTACATATTTTAAACATAGTGATGTCCAGTAATAGTTATATAGTTACTATGTTGCCAACAATGTTCAGGGAACTCACTATGAGGAGCAAAAAACGGAACAATGAACGAAAAACTTGTAGAGACGAGATTTATTGTACTGACCTTTACTGTGTACGACCACGACACGATATGTCGTGTAGCAAGATGTAAAGATTATCATCAGAGCCCACTGCTGAGCCTCTTCTCACATGGAGAAGGTTTGAGCATTAATCACCACGCTTGCTCAAGACGGGTTGGTGATTTCAAACTTATAATTTGATAAGTCCATGTTTCCTCACGATGTTTTCCTTCATCAGTCAGTGGTGTCTAAATACTATAAAGTACATATGACTCGGAACTATCACAGTGGTAGTTGCTAGGATCGAACCCGCGCCCTCATGCACGAGGCGGGTCTTTAACCACTAGGTCACCAGTACCTAATACTTAGGGTAATATTAATAGTGAGTACAGACAAACACACACACATATATATGTATATATATATACATATATACAAACAAAGTACCTTTTATTACATAAGGTATGACATAAAGTATGTCGTGGGCGTGGACTTAGAATGTGTCAATTGACTGGACACAACATTAAACATATAATATAATACTATGTTGTCTTCTTCTTCCTGGTATTTCCCCAGCTTTAGCCAGGGTCTGCCTTACATGTTGTGAATAGTTTTGGCTAATTGTTTTTACGTTCTGCCTGCCTGACATCAACCCTCTTTGGGAATGCATTAATCAGTGATGTCTAAATACTCTTATAAATTGCTTTCTAAGAATTGTTATATATTATGTATTGCTCGATATTGTTAAAATAATATGAAGTTAAGTATAATGTAATTATTATATAAGTTTCCATCATTCAGTCCTGCTTATCACTATAACACATATATAAATTAAGTCAGTGGTGGCCTAGTGGTTAAAGGCCCGCCTCTCATGCATGAGGACGCGGGTTCGATCCTGGCAAGTACCAATATGATTTTTCCAACTCATATGTACTTAAGTGTATTTAGACATCACTGATTAATGCATTCCCAAAGAAAATTGATGTCAGACAGGCGGATCTTAAAAACAATTAGCCAAAACTATTCACAACATGTAAGGCGGTCTGGCTAGAGCTGGAAAATTGCCAGATAGAAGACGAAAATACATATCTAAATTAATTATCACACACAAATGCTGCTAATTGTAATATTGATGCATCACTCGCCCGTCAATCATGTTTTGTACAATATTTAGTGTTGTGCCCGTCTATTAAAACCAATGACGGGTTAACTCACTAACTGACTAACTCAAAACTCATTATAACTCAGTGAAAGTCGGTTAAGAATATATCTATTGTAATGCAATTAATTTTACTGGTGTTGACTTACTGTATGACTATTCATTATTTGTATTTTAATTCAATGCAATTATATGTATATATAAATATATATATCTTTCTCTTTCATTCTCTCTCTATATATGTAAAAGAAAGTCATGTTAGTTACACTATTTATAACTCAAGAACGACTGTACGGATATGGATGGAAATTGGTGTACAGATAGATTAGAACAAGGAGAATGACATAGGATATTTAATACTGTTCGATCGTAAAGAAAAAACTTAATAAATTCCAATATCTGATTATTTACGACCTTTAAAACAGAATAGAGTTCGTCCGGTCAGCTATACATATATTACTAATGCAAAATTCACGCGAAGTCGCGGGCAAAAACTATTAAATATATGTATATGTTTACTTTAAAAATTAATCTAATAGCACTCCAGTAGCCGTATCGATTACACGATCAATAAAACTAACATATACTTGACTGGAACATGTTTTAACACGGACTGACTCACGGACGAGTTAAATTTAACTATCACAGTTAAATGATGATTTAACCGCGGTCAGGATCGATAGAGAGCTGTTAAATAATAATTACGTATGTAGTATTAAACATAATAACTAAGATTAAATTTAATGGTATAATATATAAAACGACTTTTAGATTGGAATTTATTAAGTATTTTTTCTGTTTCGATCGACTGTATTAAATATTCTATGTCCGTCTCCTTGTTCTAATCTATCTCTCCACTAATTTCCATCCATATCCGTACAGCCGTTCGTGAGTTATAAATAGTGTAACTAACATTACTTTCCTTTATATATACAGGGTGACTGGTGAATTACTATCAATATTTAAGGAGCATACTCGGTACATGATTCTCATTCGAATTATGTAAAAAAAATAGGCACTTAATTTTTGACAAAATTTCCGTAAAAATAAATAAAGCGTTGGCACGTTCCAAGTGTTCAAGTGTGGACGCGTGCGGCGGCGTGCTGATACAACACTACGTCACGACACGCGTATGTGTGAGTGTCAGTGTATACCTAATCTGTAGGGTGTTCACACAATGCGTAATAAATTACATAACTTTTGGTTAACTTTACTTAGAAGTTTATTAATATTTATGTTATATTAATTTTTATTTCGTCATATATGATCGTCAAATATCACGTCCTCAAATATCGATAGTAATTCACCAGTCACCCTGTATAACTGTTATTTAATTTAAAACATTAATATTTCATAATTGTTGTAACAGCTCCATGTAAATATAATTTTTTCGTCTCTCTGGTTGTTAAACGTATTTTTTCATGTTGTACATTTCCTCTACATGTAACGTTTACGAATGTTTTCTAATTATATTATCTTAATTAATATTATTATATATATCTGTCCTTCCGTAACAACGTCTTCTTCTTCTTCCTGGCAACCTCCCTGGCTTTAGCCAGGGTTTGCCAGGGTTTGCCAGGGTTTACCAGGGTCTGCCAGGGTCTGCCAGGGTCTATTTCCGTAACAATGTATATATAACAAATTAAAAACTTGCTTTTTATGTGATATCTTGTATACCAATAATATAATTTATATCATAATTCAATATTATTAATAAAACCACCAAAATTCGTATAAAACATATAAGTTTAGTCAAAAATTTAACATATTCTCAGTTCACGAAAACAAATACGAATAGGTCATTGACCTCCCAAATATTTTAATATAATATATTATTTTGTTTTATGAGTTGTTAGTTTCGGTGTAAATGTCGCTCGTGTGTAATCCTCGGTGTGAGTGACGGCCACTATAGTTATAATTATTTTGATTAAATGATAATTGTACATTGTTTTTTTTGTTAAGCATTTCGACAGAAGACGAACATAAGATGGGTGACCATCTATACTAATAACTATTTGTGTAATTTAAATCCTTTTACATACATAAAATTTTATATTTAATCAATAAATTATGATATAAAAAGGGTTTTTTTATATTGAACGACCAATTAACTTCGACTACGCGATAAGGCGGTAGCTATAAATTAAAAAATGATTGAAATGTATCTAAAAACATGAAAAATTAGTTGAAATATTATGAAAAACAATAATTTATGATATAATGATAATATTATGATATGATAAATTATACTTTTGATAATTCTTATTTGATTAATTTATCAGCAACTACCAGTGGCGACTGACTAGATATTAATTGGGAGACTTGTTTAAACTGATTATAAAAACTACTCTCGATTATACAATATGTAAATAATTATTGAAACTTGTTTAAAACACAATATTTAATAAATTAATATATTATCATCCTTTGTTACAGAGTACAACAAAATGTCGCTTGAATAGACACATCAAAATGGCGTCCACCACAGATAATATAAATCAAAAATGTGACAATGATAGATTACCGAGCTTAAAAGATATTAAAAATACAGAGGAAGTTACTGAGCGTAAGATAGGTATGAATTATAACTTGTACAAGATGAGAAGACCACACTTGTTATACAATAGTTCAGGCTACAGAGAGGAGCAGTTCAGAAGATTGAAGAAGGAGTATGGGTTTTATAGCTACTGTATGTTGAGTGTAGGCATCAGCTTTGTTCTTGGCTTGGTGATTGGAGCAGCTATAGTCGGCTCACCGGCCACTTCTCCTAATTTTATTCAGAGAAAATTAGAAAGAAACAGCACGACTAAACTTGGAGTTAATCATGAGAGATTGAACTCTTTGAAACTGATAGAATACCCTGATGATGAAAGGAAGAAAGAAAGGGATGGTGATAGATTCTCGGCTGTGTCCTTTGTAGGGTCTGATGATCCACGTAAATATAAGCTTGATGTGTATCCAAAAGGCTTAACTGATGATATGAGAGAAATCCTTAAAGACACTAAAGGTAGCGACCACAAACATTCACTGCCAGAAGTCGTCAATACAATGGTTCATGTTCCTAGCGATGATACTGTGTTATATAATAATATTTATTGGGGACCAGAGGTTGAGAACTCCATGCCGCAAGGATATGGAGAGAATTCGGCTCAGATTTGGGAGAAATACGTCGATCAAAGCGAAGTTATCAAGATGGAAGCAGGTTGTGGAAGGATGCAGAATAGATTAATAACATTCCAGGACGGAATCCAGGCTTGTGTCCGTTACAGACAGAACACGGATCAGATCCAGGGAGAGATCTTCAGTTTCTACGTCGCCAGGCTTCTAAACCTAACCAATTTGGCGCCCTCTGTAGTCAAGGTTGTGGATTTAAAGGATAAGCTGTGGCAGAACGTAGCCAATGACATCGCAACCGCTCAATGGAACACCAATCGCGCTGTGGTCATCACGCAGTACATACCAAGCTTGGACTCAGCTACCATACCAGAAATATTCAAACCTTCATCACGACATCTGAATAAAATTGACATTTACAAGATGTCTGTCACAGAAAAGAATGATACAAAACAGTTGCTTATAGATAAAATAAGATCGAAGAACATTAAGACTAAAACAGAAGTTGAGGAAAATTTTGATTATATAGATGCTAAATTAAACAAGAAGACGATTGAATTATTCGTTGAGTTGGCGCAGTGGTCTGATCTGATAGTATTCGACTATTTGACAGCAAATTTGGACAGAATAGTCAACAATCTATTCAATTACCAGTGGAATATTAACATAATGGATGGACCAGCTCACAATCTGGCGAGGAAGATGGACAGTGGACTACTTCTGTTCCTGGATAATGAATCCGGTCTTCTCCACGGGTACAGACTGCTGAAGAAGTACAACACCTACCATAGTCTCATGCTGGATAACTTGTGTGTATTCAGGAAGAATACTGTCGACGCATTGAAGACCATGTACAAATTATCCATAGGAAAGAAGTTAAGTGAAGTTTTCCACCAGAAAAACAGTGCAGTGATCAGAGATATATTGCCTCCTTTACCGGAGAAAAATGCCAAAATTCTCCACGAGCGTATAGCCAAGGTGTTAGCCCAGGTTGATAAATGCAGACAAAGTTTTGGTGAACATTAGTATGAGGTGATATCGTTTTTGCGACCAAAAATGTATATTATGTATATTTTGTGTATCTTGATAGACTTGGTAGTTGTAAATAATTAATATTTATTCGTTAGGTCGTGATAACAGCATTTTTGATACCAAATAATATAAATTATGAAGTGCCAGTATGTTAATCGTTATTATTAATGGAACTGTGACAAACAAACCAACAAATATTCTATATATACGTGGCACTCACTTGGCGTTTATTTGTTGTTCGGCCAAATAAGACCATGTGTGGAGGATATATTCGTCTTCATTTGACATATTTGCACAAATAACACACATATACAAATAAGCGAACACGCGTAAAGATGTGTTGTAATGCCAAGTGTGGATGTCATGTTTGCGCTATTTGGACTATATACAAATATTTGGACAAATACGTCGAATACTCTACGCCAAGTGAAGTACCTCATTAATAAGTCTGCTTCATAATTATTTATGTTTTAAAACTATTACCCAATGTATTTCAACCAACCTACTTTTCACTTGTTTCCTATATTGTTTGTACTGTCTACTCAACTGTACAGATGTGAGTATTGTGTTTCACATCACGGTTCCCAGTCAACGGTGGCGAGCTTTAATATGTAAATAAATGTAAAAAAATATATTATAATAAATAATATTATACCTTATGTCTGTCTTTACTTATTTTTTATACGAAAATTACAATTTGAACATTATTTAGTTAAAGATATAGGTAATGAAAGAATATTAACTTACTTGCACAAATATTTTATTATGAAAAACATATCTTCATTCACAACTCCTTATACTCGATTCATTTTTAATTATTATTTCATTTAAATAAATTATAATACATACAATTTTTTACAGTATACAGCCTATTTCATTTCATTTGAACAATATTTTTCGAATGTAACCTACATTACAGTAAAGTTTCACGAAAATCGGATCAGCATTTATAAAATCATAATATATTGAGTTCCTTTATATGTTTGTTTGTCTGTTTTCATGGATGGTCTGATGATGCAGAGGAAATCATTGCAGTAAAATAATATTTGAAGATTAATATACATATATTTTCGTTTCTTATATATAAATTTAATATGTTACAATAATAATTTATACTTCTTGTACAACGACAAGCAATAAACGTCATTATGAAAAATACTTTAAAGTTCTTATTACAAGTTTTTATCGCCACACTGCGTACTGATAGTTTAATAGTTTCATTCATAATAGTACGTTGTAATTGTAAGTATTTTCTTGAGAAACGGCAAACACGTCGTATGTAGTAATATTACAAAACTTATTTTAAGCTATGTAGACATTTTTCATCATTTTAAGTATCCGAAATTAAGTTATAATTATGTAAATTTATTTAGAAATTTGGCCCAGGTTGTAGTGCCGTTGTAATACAAATAAAATAATAATTTATAATGATAGTTAATGAATTTTTAAATATGTTATTATTTAAAGACGTAGCTACAGATTTTCATCTGTACAAAAAAAGGAAAATATTATAAGTGCGTACTATGCAGTACACAAAATTTGCTCTCTGTAGGAGTTAGAGATTAAAAATTAAACATTTTCAATTATTCACACCCACCCCTTCAAAATCTTTTGTGGGTGAAATTCAGTAAAATTAATTCCTATCAAATCTCTACTCAGTGGAAGGAATATTCCTACCAAATTTTCAAGTTTCTACTCCTTATAATTACAAATATATCGTGGTGATTCTATATACATATGTAGAAATCTTTTACATACATTTAAATAGAAGAATATTCATTTATATAACTTTTTCTAACAGCATTGAATACTCACCAATAACACACACAGACAGACAACCAAAAAACATAGTTTTACTTAAATATAAAATTACAGACATCAAAATAATCTATCAGTTTTTTACATCCCCAAGATACAATACACAAAGACAGTTTATAGCAAGAGCTGTATTAAATATTATGAACACGATAAGGAAATAAACTGTCCTCGCTAATAAAACCTAGACTGCACAGTCTAGACCGGTGAGTCTAGACTGTGCAGTCTAGGACCTGACACTTATTAGACCAGGCTTTTATTAGCACAGACCCATTGAAGGCATACCATTCCTTATATAATTATATTACGTCAAATTACTCTAACTGTCCATATAGAAAATTATATTTAAACTGATTTTACTCGCGACTTCGTCTGTTAATAATCGTTATGTTTTATATTATTATAATTAAATGAGTTTTCTTTAATTAATAGTTTGAGTCACTCCTAAATACACCAGTACCAGTAACCTGTCAGTTATAGTTTACTCAAAATCAGTTCAGTTGTTCAGTCATTGGCTGTTTTGAAAAGATTTATTTACTTTATTATTTTTAAATAACTGAAATATTTATCCTACTTATGAGTTGTCAAATATTTCCTTTTCGCTTTTTTGTTTCTATTCAATACTTTATAAAGTGTTACAGTGATCGGATTTAATTTAAATATGCGCTGTTTTGTTTGATAATCTAGTCGCCTAGAGGTAAAAAGGCCCGCCTCTCATTGCCGAGGGCGCGGGTTCGATCCTGGCAAGTAAATATGTGATTTTTCCGAATCATATGTACTTTCTCAGAGTATTTAGACATTAATTAATGCATTCCCTAACAGGGTTGATGTCAGGCAGGCGGATCGTAAAAAACAATTAGCCAAAACTATTCACAACATGTAAGGCAGACCCTGGCTAAAGCTGGGAAATCGCCAGGTAGAAGAAAAAGATTGTCGTATGTGGTCCATTTGTTGCTGCCTTTTGCAAATGGTTCAAAACGATTTGGTGACTAACTCCTATCTTTTGGGCGATATCATGAGATGTCACATGTCGGTCTAATTTCATGTTTTCCAAGATTTGATCGGTATTTATTCTCACACTATATAAATGAGCTTTTCTGAGCCTAATTACGAAATCTAATTTAATGGAGAACTAGACAATTAAAAAGGTAATATTGTTTTATCTAAAAACTATACTAGTAAAAAGAAATAACAATACCATACAATAAAATTGAATAAATATAATATTAATAAATATTATGGACACGACCGTAAATACTGAACATTATAGATTTAAACAAATAAATGCGTTTCACAATAAAATACTTAATATTGCGGAGCGTTCAACTTATAACGATAAATTATTTTTATATCCTTTTATATACAGGATGTTGATGAAAAAATACATATTTTATGTTAAAAACAGGCTGTATAAAGATATATCTTATTTTTATATAAAGACAAGATGAGTTTACTAAAATAGGGAATAATTTGGAGGAACAAAAGTATATATGTATATTTATAAAACTATTATTATTAATGATCAATATTTACTTAATTTTGGAATTATTATCTATTCCTCACACTTAGTTTTTCGTCACAAAGTAGTCATATATATGTCAGCTACAACAGACATATAAAATATTTAATTTTAAACAAATTTATATAAATAGATATTTTCGTAAAGAATCCTTGTAAAAAGACATCAAAAATGTCTAACATAAAGACATATTAATAACCAGTATGATATATTATTTAAATTATACAATATATTATAAAAATACAATAAAAATATTAAATAAATTTAATATATTCAAACGACTCAGACTTATAAGTTATAACACCTGATAGATAAAATGTCAAGCAATAAAATGACATTGTATTTGATTAAGAATAAAAAAAAAACTTCAAGACTTCATTGTTGTAAAATCAGCTTTAATTCTATTCAATACATCATTTTTTTTTGTCGGTGCCTAGTGGTTAAAGGCCCGCCTTGTACATGAGGGCGCGGGTTCGATCCTGGCAAGTACCAATGTGATTGTTCCGAGTCATATGTACTTAAGAGTATTTAGACATCACTGACTGATGAAGGAAAACATCGTGAGGAAACATGGACTTATCAAATTATAAGTTTGAAATCACAAACCCGTCTTGAGCGAGCGTGGTGATTAATGCTCAAATCTTCTCCATGTGAGAAGAGACAGCTCAGCAGTGGGCTCTGATAGGATGATGTGACGACATCAATTTTTTAATTACAATTTTATTTGTTAATCATTCTAATGACATACTAGTTCATATCCTGTATTTCCTTGCATTTTTTTGTCAAAATTTTTGGCAGTATCAAGTAATAGTATTGATTTATGTAAAATTGATATCTCCTTTGACCTTCGACCGTAACTATCTTGTCTGCGACTTATATCATCAGAGAGATAATGACACAAACTAATTTTGAAACAGGTTTATGTTTTAAGACGAATCCTCTCATCATTCCATGTATTCACGGTGCGTGTGTCAGGTCCATCGTTGTAGTGAGAGGAGCTTCAACAGTGACTGGGACTTGTGACCCAGGTGTAGGTTTAAGGGGACCCTATCTAACACGTTAAACGCTCACCTCCACCGTACAAGCTCCTCTCTCTACCTAACCAAATAGACAACATTAATTCCTGGTCCTATTTCGTATTATTAAACTTTTTATTTGATTGTTTTGTAAAAAACTTGTTAATATTTTGATTTCTTGTAAACTACTCAGTGTCTCCGTGTGGCCAATAAATTTGCATTAAATATATATGATATAGTAAAACAAGATTTGATATTATTATCATAGTTTTAAATAAATTAATATTATATATAATTAATTTAATTAGATATTAGTTTTTTATTAAAACTATGTAAAACTTGATAATCTGATTTATAATAGTTTATAAGACTTTCGCTAGTATTCATTTAAATGAAACTAATATTTTCGGGTTACTACGCGTATTGTAAACTACATACTCCCGACATTTCGGTTATTTTGCAGCAACCGTGATCATTAAGACGAGGTGTAAAATGCAATTAATAATTGTATAGTTTAGGAAATAAATAGTTTTATAATAATAAATTAACACGTAGTAATATGAAAATATTAGTTTTATCTATCTCAACTTCATTCACAAATTTCAAGATACTTTTATCTTGAATATATATATCGGATTTATTAT